AAAAAAAAAAAAAAAAAAAAAAAAAAAAAAAAAAAAAAAAAAAAAAAAAAAAAAAAAAGAAAACCCTGATTAAATTTTCGAGGGCTCCCTTCGTTTTCTCGTTTCTCCGTGAGGGCGCACACTTTTCGTAAAACCCGAGCTTTTTCTCTCGGCCGACAACACATTTCGTATTTTCCGTGCTCGCATCGACGGATGAATTCACCCGCGAGATACTTGTGCGCACATACACGCCTATAGGGGAACAAAACTAAACGGGGAGAGGAAAAATAGAGGGAGAAAGGCAAATCGAACGAGCAAACAAAGTCATGCGGCAGAAAACAAAAGGTCGTTCAACGCTCGACTGATGGGACTGACTATGGCCGTGGCGGGGAAAAAGCTTTTATAACTTTTTCGAGCCAAGCCCGGAGACGAGGGTCGACGGCAAACACGGGAACAACTATTCGCCCGCGATGGAAATTCAATACGCCGGGGCGCACGGAAGGAAGAATCATTCGCTGGAGGAAAAAGAAAAATGTTACGGAGTGTTTAATTGAAAAAGAACATATAACGAGCCGACCCGCGGTGGTCATGGATTGATTGTACATTATGGCTTGACACGGAGACGCTAAAAAACGAGGGATGCATGTAAATTAAGCCACGGATCGAGATGTTCGTATTGGTACTCTCGAGTGCGGTGAATATTGCGCGCACGATTTGATTTAGCAGAGAGTGCCCGCATATATAATAACACAGACTGCATCTCTATCTATACTTATTTGCGTTGAGATCGTTTCACGCTATTTTTCATCGAATGAAAAAAAAAAAGAAAAAAAAAAAAAAGTTTGTCGGAGACCTTCGTGCGGAGAAGAAGGGAAATTTAATTGAACGAGTCCGAAATCCCTCGGGCGCTCGTAGTCAAAGTGTAAACTCGCGACGAGCAGGATGTGTGTGCCCGTACGCGCGGCTCGCTTTTAATGCATATTCTATGTCCGAGTTTTCGTCCCGCGCCCGCATCGCCGTGTGAGTTTTGTGTGTTCATATACTCTCCGCGACCGACGGTATTTTTATTTTCAGTCACCGCGACTGTAACCACACGCCCCCTCGTGCCCTTTTTTGGTTTCGCATCCCGCTGGTGGCATATTGATGGATGCCGACGGAATCGAATGGAACACAGACGTTGATGTGTTTAAAAACCTCCAAGATTTTTACGGTACATGTGGGGAGATCATCTTTCAACGGGATAAAATGTATAGCAACATGCACTATTTTCGAGACAAAACGACCAAACAGAGGGCATGGCATCAGCGAACAAGCGAATTAGGCAAAAAGTTGGTAGATGGGCACGTAAGTACCCATATACGTACGGGTTCTCGTATTGTACTGTTGACACAAGTCATGTACATATATATACGCGTTGCACAAGTATATGTATTGCGAGCAAATACCTGTGCTTTCATACGGTGCAGCTGTACACGGATAAGGGCACAGTCGTAACGGGGTAACGCGTAGTTACACGCACGGATTTGCCTTGTATAAATACAGCTGGACAGCTACCTTACTGCTGCTGCTTTCATTGTGCAGTCAACGAGGAAAGGCTGTGTATACATATACGCGTGCTGGCGTAGTTGGCTTGTTTTTGCAGCGGCTCCGTTGGAGAGAAATAACAAGCGGATACACGTAAGGGAGAGCCGCGAGACGGGATATGATACTTGTTTTCCTTCGGTGAAAACACCGTCGAGTGCTCGCGATCGAGTGAACATCTGATACTATGGTATCGGACACGAAAACTAGCGCAAAGTTCACGACCATCGCAATCCGCAAAAAATGGCCTTACTTCAATTGCAACTCGAACATTCCATGAAGTATCGTAGGTGAACGAGATCTATGGCAGCGTAGAGAACACGCCATCTCTCTTTGCGCTGCATATCCACTAGATTTGATTATGACCTTTTCGTTGGATGATTTATGCTTTCGCGTCTCTTCGTTCCCAAAGAAATGCCCATTAATTTTGACGATCGATAACTATCAGACTAATCAAACCACACGTATTACGATTGTCCGCTCAGTTCGGACCAACAGTACAATGGGCTCATCGACAACTCAGCAGGGCCATCGGGGAGGTTGCGGAAAAGGAGGCTGCGGCGCAAAGGATGGACAGGCTGTAAGCAATGGAGAGCTCCGACTGCACATCCGTGACTGTTCAATTAATTGCATAGGGCGCTCTCACCGCCTGTCCTTTTGAATCCCCTTCGGTTCACCCCCTCCTTCTGGCTACCGAATGGACGGGGCCAGGACTGCCGATACTGACACCACCCTGCATACGCCTGACCGGTACATCTATAAATTGAAGCGATGTGCTCGAGCCGCCGATGATCTGCCTTTGAATGGGCGATCCTGTAATTAAATGACGCACGCCGGTGCGTCCTGTCCGTGGGAGGTAGAGAGGGACGTCGAGCTCGCCGGCCCGTTTCCGTGGCTGATTAGTAGGTTTGAGGATCCATTGTTGAATTTGAGCTTTTGCAGGGGAGGGTGTTTTGTTTGCACGCCAAGGGCACGGGCAAGTGGAAAATTTGGCGCGGTGTGGGCTTTTACGTTATTGACTGGAACATTTCTACTGGCACGTGTGATCAGAAGGCAGATGTGATAATGGGTGGGTCATTGGGGCTTGGAAACGTGAGTTTTTTACGCTGATAAAAAAAAAAAAAAAAAATTGTAATAAAAAATCAAATTCGATTTTGACTTACTTTACAACCCTCGCAGCTGGTGACTCCGTAGTGATAGCCACTCGCCTTATCGCCGCAGACCTTGCACGGCACGAAACTCTTGGCGGGGGTTGAGCTATTCGAGTCTGCGGCAGCGTAGTGTTGTTCTGCAACGAAAAGAGAAGAGACATGTTTTACAGTACATCCACAGAGATTTTATGTTACGGAGACGTATAGAGAATATTTTTCCCTGATGGTTGATGAGGAGAGATGGATTTACATCACGCATGTGTACTTGCAGTTTTTGTACTCGAAGGTGTGAATGTTGTACGTACTTTAAATAATTGCGTAAACACGTAAAACTTGTTTCAAAAAAGTCCTCCTACTCTAAGTAAAAGCTCACTTCATCTATATTACAAGGTAATATTTTAGCTGTATTTTTATTTATTACCAATAACGTAGCTTAGAGATGAAATTTTGTTCAAGATTAAGTACTGAAATTTTTTCCCTATATTATTTGAGAATCCTTTGAAATAAGAATAATTAAAAATGTTGTAAATGCAATCAGGGCATTTGCATACACCTACACTACAATTGACAAAGTACCAGGATTTCACAGAAGTTTTACTCCATTGCACATCCCCCTGAATTTAAAATAAGTCGTGAAAAATTTAATTATTTACACATACAACGAAATTTTCACGAGCGACATAGTGAAAAAAAAATGGTATTCATCCAAGCTCGGAAATTATAATTTGGTATTACAATTGATAAACAACAGTGGTATGATTATAGAGATCTCTATCAGAGAGAATTGCATAGCCTGTAAATACTATTTCCGGTGCTACTAACCAATTAGTTAGCCAACCAATAAAATTAGCGAATCATTAATTAGTAGAAATAGTAAATATTGACTATTTCGTAGTGAGAATCCACTATTTTTGCAAGCTACAAGTAAACAACTAAGAAATAGTAATATTAACTTTGACACTACTCAAATAAATAATTTCACTACAAAAATGTAAATAGTATTGAGAGTTTCCACAAATCTGGCAATTTAAAATACCTGAATTTTTTCCGAATTCACATGATATAAAATATCATATATGAATATTGTTTATCCTAAAATGAAAATTTGATATTAAATAATCAAAACTAATCAAACTAATTTATTTAGCCGAATGCACAGAGCATATTATAAAATCTACAAAAGCATGTCTTTTATGTCTGACCTTGAGTCTTATTTTTCCAGGATTTTCAAGTTAATTCCCAGAGTTTTCCCCCGGTTCCACAATTCCCAGCTTCCACGAAGAAAAAAAATCCCTGAGAATTCCTGGTTTTCCTGGATCTACCATTTTATAAATTGTGCCTATTGTTACCATCTATAGTGATGATAGCGAAGTAACTTTTAGCATGTCGTTCTTGCAGATCCTTGTTTTATTCCCGGACATCGCGTACAGCTTCTCTTCTATCAGACGCATCATTATTTAAAATATATTTTGTCTTTTTATAAAAACGTTCTCTTTTTTTTTTTCATCGTAATTTGTTGATGATAAACATAATGTTCATTTTTCTGAGTAGGTACGCTCCACTTAAACCTTTCATTGGAATCTATTAATACGATGAAAATCAATATTATGCTGGACAATTGAAGATGCTAATCCTGATGATGACCATATATCAAATATAAGACGGCTAAAATCAATCCGTCCGAATCAGAGAAGAGTCTGATGTCACGGAAGATGCGAAAAGAAAAAGACGAGCGAATGTTGAGAAATAAACCGACGTATCTTTGTTTACCAGGGAAAAGAAGAGCCGGCCACCAAATACTTAGCCGAGAGCATCTTGCTGGTTGCAGCATGGACACCAAGACGTGCACTTCCTATTTTAACTGTCGATAACGTTTGGCAAACTTTGACCCACTTTTCCACATTTTCCTGTATATACATAGGCACTCTCGGAGGCTAAGGAAAAGGACACTTTTTTGCTTCAAATATCCCCGTCCGACCGTGTTTAACAAACAATTTTACTTACTTTTCAAGGACTTGGCCACTCACAACTACCAAAACGCGTCTTTCTTCGCATGAAAAACATGGCCTTCCATCGGTTCGATTGTACCCATCAGTGACACTTGTGAATGCACAATTAAATAAATAGATTTTGAGGGACCGGGGCCATTCGCCAAATCATCTCCAGCTGTGTAAAACAGAGCTCAAAGTTGCCGGACGCGTCATTGCTCACGCAAAAATCAATACAATGTCCCACTTTCCTTCCTCTCTTCCCCAACCCCCCCTCATCGATAGGCCTGAATAATTGATGGCACCCGAGCGCGGATCTGCCGTTTTGATAAATGTTTCAGTCACGGTAAGCGCTCGCTCGGAGGGGCTGTAGTTGGCTCTCATTTGCACCACCAAACGGGGACCAAGGGTCTTTTTTATCGAATGCCCTTTCCACTTGGGCTTCCCCCGGGGTTGAATCACTCATTTGTGCATATATGTAAATATATATATACGTGGAAGTGCACGCGTGTTCGCACGTTAAGGTTCCCGAGGAACGGGAAAAACGAGGGAGCGCGTCAATGGGCACTGGTAACCAACACCACGGCGCAACGATTCCGTGCCTCTAATCAGCCAGACGGCGATCTCTCAAGCTGCAGTGCCTACAAGTATATACGACCGAACCAATTAAACCAGCCACCGTATAGGTGCTTCGTGCCTACCACTCGTTAGCCCCCCCTCCCTCGGGAGCCTTATCACGCGCCTCCGCGAGTCTATACCCCCCGAGCGAATGAACAAAAAGATATACGTGTATAGTCTCGGGACGACAATGAACAACACACGGGTGTACATATAGGGGAAACTTATGTACGCGAGGATGGAGCGGGAAAAAATATAGAATAACCGTCACCGGGAATAACACGTTTTTGCGGGAGAGCCGGAAAAGCGAAACGCGCGTAAGTACACGCACGTATACGTGTAATGCGGTTGGCGGCCGCATCGATTCGCGAAACAGCTGCTGCTGTATATACATGGAAGGTAGGTACACAAGAAACAAACAGCTGAGCAAGAGAGAGACGTACATGTATATATGTACACACGTATACGTATGAGTATCGTCTAACGGCGCTGTCGAGCGTTTATACCGTTACGGCGGGCCGCGCGGTGCACCCAAGAGGAGGAGAGAGGACGTGTGTTATAATACACGTATTGCGTTCGAGGGGGGAAAAAAAAGGGTCCTGGGAGAGACGGGAGAGCTGAAAAAGACGTCTGTGCACACAGAAGAGGGAAATCGGGAGGAAGAGCGCGCTAATTGCTCGGCTACTGGCCTTGCCGTTGGATGCGTTTACCGTTATTGCCCCGTGTGCACGCGGTGCATGATGTCTCGTCTCGTTTGCAGATATTCGTATGGGTAGTTGGATGGATTATTATTGCACCGAGGGGACGGGGTATCAATGGGCTTTGCCAATTAGTGGGAAAACGGAAGTTTCGAGTTGAGTGTCTTCTTTACGCACGGCTGTTCTTTCATACATACATACGACAATTTGCAAAGGTCTTGATTCACTATATTTTTCTTTTCTTTCTTACATTAGTTCGAGAGCTCATACCCGAGCCCTTTTTATTTAATTTATTCATTGCTGTTCAAAAGCTTTTTTTTTTTCTTTCCTGTCGTGAAATTGTAACACGTTTGGAGTGTGGAAAGTAACAATTGCTGCGTCATGTGATGGTGAATTTTTTCGAGTGCAGATGGCTATCGTTATCGTCGAAACAAAGGAATTCCGACGGAACGAGAAAGCAAGGAGAGAAACAAAAAATTAATAAAGTTGATTACTTTAACCGTGCATTCGAAAGGGTGGATGGGGGAAAAGGGGGCTTGAGTAGGACAAAGAGAGCGCGTAGTAATGACTTTTCACCCCTCAGGTTATTTCCGACGTAACTCTCATGAAAACTTTAAACGCTTCGATCGATTGGGCTACAAAAATAATTAATATTCATTGGATGTTTAAGTCATTGTTTTGAATGCTCTATCCTTCATTCAGATTCATAATCGTGAAAAAAGATATACACTATTTTTACACGTATGTACCTAATGAAGAAAATAAACCCAATGCCCGCCACAACGATCAAATTGTATGAAATATGAAACATCAGACTGTGATTCCTGGCGTAAGTATAATATAATATTTTTTGTCACTGCCGCGCATAACGGTATCACCCGCAGCAGCCGTTACATCGGCGCGCGTACTCCCCCTCCCTTTGTACCAGTATTACGTGTATATACACGACAGCTACACACAACGCCCCTGGGGCTGTCTTCTCTCGCGCTCTTTTCTACCTCCGGCAGTAGGTTTTTTTTTTTTTTTTTTTTTGAACTCCCCGAGCACGAGCTAATTATTATTGCTGCGCAGAGCCCCGAGGACGGTCACGACGACGATGCTAAGGTTCACGAGCCGAGACTCTGTTGCAAACTGACGAGCGCCCGTGCAATTGGGTACACACGCATACAAGTATGTATACAGATATCGCCAAGCATGTCGTACATTATATATATAAATATACATATGTGGGTGTATTGTCAATCGCTCGCTCACGACGATATTGATTATTCACTTGGGCTCCGTGTGATATACCTTTTCGCTCTATTTTCAGGCGCGATGATGAATATTCGGTCGATGTACGACTAGTACGGTGTTCCGTGCGTGAGCACTATACAATCAGGAACATTGGTTCGCGCGAATCGCACGCGTGTCAGCTCCGTCGCTCCGCGGTGGTATTCCGAGAACGAGCGAGGGTCTCGGATGGTAGGTATGGTGGGTAGACGCGGAGGAAGAGGAAAAAAGTAACGCTCGCCGACTGCCGTAAAAAGGAGCTCCAGAAGCCGTGTCCGTTATCGCTCGGTGGATTCCGTGAGGAAATACCCTTTTAGAGAAGCGCAGGGGAACGGGGAGATCCTGTCGTCGCGGGTTTTTTTCCACCTTCGCGAGTCTATTCCTTTGGCAAAAAAAAAAAAAAAAAAAAAAAACGGCTGTGCATACCTGGCACGGCTCCATTAGATTGACCGTGGTCGCTTTGATTAATTGAAAATGTGTAGCCATGTACCGCTCACGTTTATTTTTTCCTTTTTTTGTTGCCGTGGCCCAAGAAGATGATTAATTTGTTGAATTTTGCTG